AAAGGGTCATAATTCCCCATGGCTGGCTGAGGGATTCTGGGAGTCGAGGTCCACAGGTCCTAAAAGGGCCATAGTTTGCCACCCCTGATTCAACTGATGCACCCCTACAACCGACCTTCAATGTTACCCCTATTGTTGCTTTTGACAGTTTTAGCATCACCTTGTCTAATGAATTGTGCGCGTCCAGCAAAACGTTACGCGACAAATGGCCAAACTGAGGCATTTCCAACCCAGATTGCTAAATTGCTTTAAATGGAGGCCGAATGAAGTGAACTCGCCGGTCCAAATTCCCTTTTTTAAAAATATCTGCTGTTTGTCCTCAACTTAAAACCATTCATTTAGTCAACATTCGAAACTCCCACAGCTACTGGAAAAAAATATATAACTTACGACTGTTTTCACACTTACAACCATTGTAGCATCACCACGATCAAAATTCAGACGCTTGGCAACTGACTCAATATTTATGACGGGTTCAATTTCCTGAGGGTTGCAATGTGCAAAGTCAAGGGGGAAGCCCGATTCATTTAACAACTGTGTGACTCACTTAACTGCGGTGATTCACAAGGCTCAATGAATGCGGGGCTTACCACCAGAAATTTGAGGCTCAGAAATTTGGCCGTAAGTCGAGGACTACGTGAGTTGCATTGGTATTCGTGCTGCGTATTACAATATTATATTCATATTGATGTTTCTCAAATAATTAATACATTCTCGGGATAGAAATCTATCTGGATAGGCACACAAACACATCAGGATAGGCTCAACAAGACTCAGCCAGCTTCTATTCAGGTATTCCTCGACTTATGACCACAATCAAGCCCAACATTTCTGTTGCTAAGTGAGATGCAATGCGATGACCCAAAGGGGCGTGACACAAAAATAACCAAGTCACAAAAATAGAAGAAAGTCCCCTTAATGCCTCCAACTTGGCCCCAATGTCCAATTATCCTCTTAAAGAAAAGAGTTTACTGAGGGAGTAAATGCACTCCACACCCAAAGTAAAGTTAATACAAAATAAAAAAAACCAACACAAACCACACTGAAGGAATTAGTAGGCAGGCATGATAAGGATGATTAATTGCAGACGTCTACCAGATAACGCAACAAACCACAGTTGGGAGGAAGCCAGAACACAGATAAGTTGTGACAAGAATAATTTCATGCTTTGCTTCTAGCAACTTTGCCATGCGCAGTTTGTCCTTTTAAACATTTCTCCCAGCTGCAGCCCATGAAGGGGATCAAGGCCCTTTCCTCCCTCATAGACCATGCCGTTCACGTTGCTCCCTTCTCCGTTCCTCCCTGCGTGCCCTAGGATGAAGAGGGGATGGATGGGCCTGGGTCTTCCTCTGAATACCCAGCTGGCATGTGCCCCTCCCCAGTTTCCTCCACAAGCCACACTCCCACTCCATGTCAGCTGTTCCATCTCTCCCTCGGAGTCAGACTCCAACAGGGGCATGACACGTGTTAAATGAATTTCGCTCCATTTTACAACCTTTCCTGACAGAGTCGTTAAGCGAATCCCTGCAGTTAAGTTAGTTCCCACAGTCGTTAAGCAAATCCCCACTGACTTTGCGTGTCAGGAGGTCACAAAAGGGGAGCACGAGACACTGCAACCGTCATCAATACGAGTTGGTTACCCAAGCATCTGACTCTTGATTGCGTGGCCATGGAGGGGCCGCCGCTGTCGTAAGTGTGAAAAATGGTCCTAAGTCCCTTTTTTTCAGTCCCATAAACACACTGTTGTAAGTCGAGGACTACCTGAATTCCTGCCAAGAAAACTTCCCCGGTTGCCTGTGAAATCCCACAGAATCAGGCTCGACTCTGAAGAGAACGGGCTTGGAAGGGCTTACCGTGTCCTCTTAGATCCAAAGCTACGATCCTGCACTGGATACGGTTGACGATGGTGGCCTGAAGAAAAGAGATAAAATGACTCAAATCAGATTTAACGGATTTAACAGATAATCAGAGTTGGAAGGGACCTTTTAGGTCATCCAGTCCAACCCCCCCACCCAAACAGGTGACCCTACGCCATTTCTGACAATTGGCAGTCCAATCTCTTCTTGAAAGTCTCAAGCGATGGCGCTCCCACAATTTCTGAAGCCAACTTCTGTTCCATGGGTTGATGGTTCTGTCGGAAAATTCCTCCTTATTTCCAGGTTGAATCTCTCCTGGTTCAGTTTCCATCCATTATTCCTTGTCTGGCCTTCAGGGGCTTTTGAAAATAGCTTGACCCCCTTCCTTCTCTCTGGGGCAGCCCTCCCTCAAATATTGGAAGACTGCTATCGTGTCTCCCCTGGTCCTTCTCTTCACTAGACTAGCCAGGCCCAGTTCCTGCAACCGTTCGTTGTTTTAGCCTCCAGTCCCCTAATTATCCTGGTTGCTCTATATTTATAAAAATGAAATACCCCTCATGCATCATCACAAAATCTCCAGAACCGTAAAGCCTACAATCTTGAAATTTGGCACGTATGTCCCCCTTGGCTTCTAGGGGCTCACTAAGAAAGGATTTTTCCAAAAGACCCTCAGAGTATTTAGAGTATTTCCTATATTATTATTATTATTAACAAGCTCTGATGCTCGGGAGTTCTACTCCCCCTCCCCGCCTGCAAAAGAAACCTCTTCCAAAGGCAAAACACAAGCCCTAATTAAGCCCCAAATAAGCCCTAATTAATATCCCGCCCACTCCAGAGAGCACAGGTGAACATTAAGCTAGGGTGGAGGAGGATGGAGCTGCCCTACTACTGCCCTTTGGGCAGTTGTAGCCAGGCCTTGCACACATTCCAACACCTGCCTGGCCGGCCTATTTCTTCTGCAGCCGGCAAGGCTGGCCAGGTTTTCCTGAAGGCCTCTGGAGCTGAGAAGAAAGCTCTGGATCGATCCAAAGCTCTGTTATTGGCTGCAGAGGCCTTCAGGATAGCCTTGCCGGACGTAGAAGAAGTTCCTAAAGGCCCCTGACAGCGAAAAGGAGGACAGGGGTGATGCGCGCAAGTGAGGTTAGTCAATGGAGGACATTCCCCGAAAATAAGACCTGGTGCCTCTTTTTAGTGGCAAATATATATATAGATATATATAAATATAGATAGATAGATAGATAGATAGAGATAGATAGATAGATAGATAGATAGATAGATAGATAGATAGACAGATAGAGATAGATAGATAGATAGATAGATAGATAGATAGATAGATAGATAGAGATAGATAGATAGATAGATAGATAGATAGATAGA